CAGTTTTTTGTGTTGCCTCCTTCACCATTTTGCCCCGTTCTCCCCTATATATTAATAAACTGCAATCTAAGTATATATTTATAACCTGCAGATTAACTATATATTTATTAATTGCTAAGTTAGACTGCAGCTTATAAAAATATAGTCTAAATATATTTTTATAAGCTGCAGTCTAAGTATATATTAATAAACTGCAATCTAAGTATATATTTATAACCTGCAGATTAACTATATATTTATTAATTGCTAAGTTAGACTGCAGCTTATAAAAATATAGTCTAAATATATTTTTATAGGCTGCAGTCTAAGTATATATTTATAAACTGCAATCTAAGTTTTTATATACAACTGTAGCTCTGATTATCTAATGAGAACTGTTCTTGTATAAAACTACAAATGACATGTAATTATCGTTTTTTGTTATACTCATTTGATGGCAAGAATTTCGAAGAAAAAAATAAAAATAATCAACTCTTTATTAGTCATTATTTACTTTAATATACTACATTTAAAATACTAAAAACTTTGATTTTAACAGAAACGTTTTGGTATTATATCTCCAAGGCTTCCCTAATTTTTCAACGCTAAAACTTTTGTCAATGGTCCAGTAAATATTTTTGTGACAAAATTTTTTTGGTTTAATAAACAAGAAATAATTCATATTCCGTCATGAATCGACGTTTGGTATTGTAAAAATCTAGTGAACCTTTTCAAACGAGTTTGAAAAGGTTCACTAGTTTCAGCTTCGTAAGATTTACCGCACCTGCAAGTTAGTTTATAAACTATCTTGTAGCTGCACTCATGGCAATACGGATTTATTTTTACTTGTTAATATTGTTTCTAAATTAGAATTAAATTTAAAAACAGCTCTGTAACGAAAATTTCGATGTATTTTTTGGGCTTCCCAGGAACCCACGGTAGCAAATTATGTTATAACTTTTTTGTTAATAGTATTTATTTATCATGGTAATAATGTTACTATAATAATTGCATTTTCTCACAAGTTTTAATTTTGATAAAATTAGTATAATACTTTAATTGCAACCTAAAAATGATTTTTGCATTTTTAAATAGACCCAAAATGAGACATAAGAATGTTAACTTGACATTGTGATTAACTTGATTTTATCTGGAAGAAGGAGAAAACTTATTTCATCTGGAAGAATTATTTTTAGACAGCATTTATCAACATAATCTTAAGCAGCAAGTAGTATTAAAGATATTAGATCTGTTTTTATTTAATAGGTCGCAAGAAGAAAACTGTTTTGGTATTATTTTTACTACCGGTGCTAAAGCACTGACATTGTCTAACTGAAGGAACATGGTATGTGGTAATATAAGTAAAAAAAAAAAAGTTAAACTTTAGAATTATTTAAATCTAAATTTATTTAAACTAGTGTACAAATAATTTCAAGCAGCCTAAAAGGCACAGAAAATGACAGATCAGTTATGAAAAGAATTCATATTCAAGTAAATATTCATGGCAATTCTTTTTCTAAATTTATTTCTCAAAGGTTAGTTCGATTCTATCAATCACTCTCTTCCAGGATTAGTTTGACTCATCAATCACTCTTCTCATGAATTTTTTTGACTTTATTATTCACTTTTCTTCTTTTGAGATAGCTAACTTTTAGATATAGAACAAACTCCAAACATTTATATATTTATACTTATGTCAAATAAAAAATTGCGATGATTAGAGGGTGGGAACAAAAAAGCCCCAAAATTTTTGCCCCCCATCCTGCCCCAAACGTGAGAGCAACAAGTTGATGAAATATTTTTTGTACTATTTTCAACTAAACTTATATTCATCGATAAATTTTAAATTTCATAGTAAAATATTTTAGCGTTTAAAAATTATGACCATATAAAGTTTAAACCCCCCTTAATTTGAGGGGGTTGCAAATTTTATATGGTCATAATTTTTCAACGCTAATAAATAATACTATGAAAATTAAAATTTATCGATGAATATAAGTCTAGTTGAAAATGGTACAAAAAATATTTCATCAACTTGTTGCTCTCGCGTTTGGGGCAGGTGGCGAAAATTTTGGGTTTTTTTTGTTCCCACCCTCCAATCATCGCAATTTTTTTGCAAAGCATCCTTATTTGACATAAGTATAAACATATAAATGTTTCGAGTTAACTCTATGTCTGGAAGTTAGCTATCTCAAAAACCAAAAAATGCTGGATCCGCCCCTGCCTGAACCTAATTTCTTCTTCTAAATACGTGACATTAAAAAACGTCCCTTAAATAAAAGTGTTTTGTAAGTTACTTTACAATATAATATAAAGTAATGCTTAATTTCACCAAAACATACAAGATTGTTTCAATTATAAATTACCTCAAATCACCAGATTTAGACGCGATATTTTTAAGGATATCTATCCAATCTATCTAAAAGTATATCCAAAAATATCTAAAGTATTCTCATTAAATATTATGAGACATTTTGTTTTAAGTTATTTATGCTAAATGATGTTGAAGTTATACAACTAAAAGTCTTTTGTCAAAAATTTTCTTAAAAACACCTCTTGATTTAAATAATATTCATATATCTCCAAAAATCAAGTAGTGAAAAAAGACTTAAAAGAAGATTAAAATGAAATAAAATAAGAAAATCAAACAAAGTAAAAACTTATTAGTTTTCGAAAAAAAATAACATCTAAAGTTTAACAATAATAAAAATAAAGTAATAACATCTAAACTTCAAGAATAATAAAAATAAAGGAATAGCACCTAAAGTGTATGAATAAAAAAATAACATCTAAAGTGTATGAATAAAAAAAGGAATAACAAAGTGTAAGAATAAAAAATTCCAAAAATGTAAATGTAGACTACATTTACATTTTTGGAATTTTTTATTCTTATACTTTCGAAGTCTTTATATTAGAGAAATAAAAATAAAATTTTAGAGAGAGAAAAAAAAAAAAAATTTAGATTAAAACACTCCACCTAGTTTACCGATTCATGGTGGAGGAAAAAAAGCAATGACCAACTAACACTTTATTTACTAAAGCTAAAAACAAAATTATAATTATATTATCACTGAAAACCATGCGAAAGTCATTTCTATTTTTTATCTATATAAATATATTAATAACAAAAATAAATCCGGTAGTTAAGATGTTATGCAAGAGACTTCATTGAAAAGATCAGTCTATGATTAAATTGAATTATATGAATATTATAAATTATAAAAAAAAATAATTATTAAGAAAAATACAACATCAATATCGTTCTAAAATATCAGTTTAATTTTGGTGAGTTCCTGAAAGCATAAATCTTAAAATAGTTCATTTGATAACAAATAATGATATTTAAAATATAAAAATTTAAAAAGCTTTTTTTATTAATAATAATTTTATCTCGACGCGTCGAATTGAATTATATATATATATATATATATATATATATATATATATATATATATATATATATATATATATATATATATATATATATATATATATATATATATATATATATATATATATATATATATATATATATATATATATATATATATATATATATCGTCCCCTAACTATTATCTTGTTCTTTCTACAAATGTAATAAATAAAATGTTCTATCTAATAAATAAAATAAATACACAAAAAAAAAAACTATATATAAATAAATACAATGTTCTATGTATAATAATTATTTTATTATATCAGGTAGAACTTTGTATTTATATATATATATATATATATGTATATATATATATATATATATATATATATATATATATATATATATTGTATTAAATTTGTATATTAGATAGAAAATATTATTTATTACATTTGTAGATAGAACAAGATAATACTGAGGAGACGATATATATATATATATATATATATATATATATATATATATATATATATATATATATATATATATATATATATATATATATATATATATATATATATATATATATATATATATATATATATATATATATATATATATTATATATATATATATATATATATATATATATATATATAGGGGAAAGCGGGGCAACATGGCGAACGTTTTGAAAGCCCTGAGTTATTGCAAATCTATCAGCCGTGAAGCAATAATACTTTCTCATTATGTTTATGTTATCAAAATCCTTCATTGCCTGCATGAATTTTCAGTTTGCAAGTATAACAATTTGAAATAAATATTAAAATAAAAAGTTCATAAATTAGTTATCTGACCACGTGACCGGGGCAAGTCATCTTGCCCCGGTCACGTGATCAGATAACTATTTTATGAACTTTTTATTTTAATATTTATTTATATAGATAACAGATTATGCAATTTTTACCTCCAATTTTATAAATTTTTAAAAACTACCAAAAAATCTAACTAAAGTAACACAAAATAAACACAAATCGCAAAAAACTACTTCTAAAGAAATTAAACTTGAAGGACACCATCCATTATGAGAAACCGAAAGTGAGGAATTTTTTTTTAAGCGCAAAAAGTAAACTTATGCGTATAAAATTGCGTTGATAATATTTCAAAAAACCAATTGGTGTTTTAAAATACAAGATGCAAATACAGTTTCGTTTTTAACCAATTTTAAGATTTTTTATTGGGTTGTTATATGAAAACCCATCTTGCCCCATTCGCCATGTTGCCCCGCTTTCCCCTATATATATATATATATATATATATATATATATATATATATATATATATATATATATATATATATATATATATATATATATATATATATATATATATATATATATATATATATATATATATATATATATATGAATGTATGAATGTATATGAAACATTTAAAACTTTTTTCATAAACGTTTATCGACGAAATTTCGAATAAAAGTACTTCCGGAGAAAATAAAAAATATTTCTTGTAAAAATTAACTTTAGTTCTATCAAGCGTCAGTATATGTTTTGTTTATAAATTATGGCTTACTTATTCAGTTTGTATATAAGGCTTGTTGTTTCAATCTTTATTCATTTGATATTTGCTAAAGCCTTATGTCTGTTCACCTGGCTGAATTAATATATTTTGTTTCATTTAACTTCACGATGTATTCAAACATGTTGAAAGCAGCTACTTCTGTTCTGTTGATTTGAATTCATGAAAGCGAAAAATGCATGCGTTCATCAATTAATATTTTTATACGCGCTTTTCGCATAATAAAATCTCTAATTTTTTCCTTTGACGATTATATTTAAGTAAAATTCAGCCGAAGCTTCGTGGCTTTTTTCCAAACAATCCTATGGCATTACTATGGCATTCTATTACTAAATTAAAACTTTCTTTTGTTTAAGGATATTTATGGAATCTCATGACGATTATTCAAAGTTATGAAAATAAGTTGTCGTGTACCCAGGTACTATTTAATTCTAATCTACTGTTTTATAGTTTTTGTGAATGAAGTTGAGCTTATAATATATGTTTACTATTTTTTTTAAATAAAAAGTTTTATACTATATTACTTAAACTATATTTTAAAATATGTTTTTACAAATCTATACAAACATGTAAAATTCATCTTAACTGCCAATCTGGTTCTTAACATTTTTTTATTAAAAAAAATTAGAGCGTACTTTACGATTAGGAGCGTAGTTTCTTTTCTTCTATTTCCATGACCTACCCCAAGTTAAGTAATCCTATGTATTATTCTTATTATTTGCTGATTCAAAATTATAATCTAATCTTTTTTTTTTTTTTTTGAATTAAATTAAAAATTCTTGTTCGTAAACTTTATGTAAAAAAAAAAAAAAAATCAACAAAAAAATGGAAAGACATTTTTATCATTTTGAACTCGTAAAATAAGAGCTAATAAATCTTCATGCACAAGTCTTCAAGAGCTAATAAATCTTCATGCGTAAATTCGCATAAACTGGATTTTTTTGTTTGTGGTACAATTTAAAATTTTAAAAAATACACGATTTACATGCACGAAAAACACATGTTTTAATAAGAAAAAACATAAAAAAGAAATTTATATACTAGTTTTGTTAATTTTAAGCAAAAAGCAAAATTTTTCTGACAAAAATATGTCTTTGTTTTAAATAAGATTGTATCATGTTAAGCTTGGTTTCCAATAGTTGTAGGAATGTCATAAAACAGTTGTACAATAAACTTTATTTCATAAAGGAAACATTTTGTAGGTCTTCTTGGAGTACCTTAATGCTACTTTATTATTTCTTGCCGTTGCGTAGCAGTAATTCTAGATTTTCGGTATCAGTATTTTGGCTAATAAAACAAACATATCTTTTTTTTTTAAATTAAATTAAAAAATAATTAATACACAAAAAGGATATAACAATTTTTTATTAATTTGTAATTAGATCTAATGTTGTAATAATATTATAAAATAATATTATAAAAATAATAATGCCATTTCCTATACGGCAAATCTTTAATTCTAACAGCTTTAAGGTGGCTCATATAGAAAAAAATACTCAATTTAAAAAAAAATGTGATTTTTTTTTTAATAAACATTTGATGCAAAGTTTATCATACTTTCAGAAAATATGTGCATTTTGCATAAAATATTTATTACTATTACCTCACTTAAACTTTTTTAATGGTCAGTTTTATTGTTTTATTTTTTTTTTTTGATCATTATTTTCAAACTTTTTAATTTTATTCTTTTTTTACAACTTCAAAATATGATCGAGATTAAGAAAAGCTTTTTGGCTGAAATTTTGTGTGCATGTTCCTTAATCATTTAGATTTCAGATGTACTAAAATGGCCAACTAAGAATAGTTTTATCATTTTTTTTAACACAACACCTGTTTTTTTTATGTATAATTTTGTGATTTTTTAAAGTATTGTGTTTCGTTTTTGATATTTTAATTGTTTTTTCGTTTTTTTAGTAGAAATGAATGATATTTAAATTCCATTAAAATATCTTGTTAATAAAAACTAGATATCAAAGCTAATTTGATCCAAACATAATGGGGTTTTCTGTTGATTTTTACTTTAAGGTTGCTAACTTACAACTAATTTTAGCTATAAAAGAAAATCTTTTATAGCTAAAATTAGTTAGTTTTTCTTTTTTTTTTTTTGACATACTTGTATTGCATGTGTTTTATTGGACTATTGCTAAGCAACTAAGCACTGTTTAATGTTAAACAGTGCTTATTTGTTATTAATTTTTATTTTTTTGAAACCTTGATAATTTTTTTATTTATTTTGATTAGAATACTTAGATTTCTTTTTTATACTTTGCTCAGTTTTAAAAAACTTGAACCAATCTTCAGGAGACTGAATAAGTCCAAACTTCATAGGTGCGAACTGGCATAAGTGTAAAGCGGTTGCAAAATCTCAAATTGGCATTAGTGCGCTGAAAAAGTTTGTAAACATTGGCATATGCGCGAATTGGCATAAGTGCAAACTGGTATAAATGTAAAACAACCGCAAAAACTGACATAAGTGCGAATTGGCATTTGCGAAGATGTCTGAAGAAGATATGTGAAAATAAAAGGCAAAAGTGCGCTGAAAGAATTTACAAGTTCTTCTGTCGTACTTATGCCAGTTTTTGCAAACTTTTTCGGCGCACATAGGTCAGTTCACTTATGCCAGTTCGCACTTAACCCAGTTCATATTTATGACAGTTTTTTGCAAATGCTTTGTACTTATGCCAGTTCGCACTTATGCAGACTCGCTGTTACTGTTAAAGATTACTATTATATCTTTATGCTGAACTTAATAATAGTAGTACTGCCCTTTTGAGCGTAACACAACAAAAAAGGTTGATCGTACAATACACCTCAATGGTCGATGTGGTTAGCTCGCAGCGTTTTTAAAGTAAATCGCAAAAATTTAAATGGTTTATCCTGGCGCTTGTGCATTTTTTTTTTTTAATTTTTTTTGTTTTTAAAAATACGAAATAAAAAGTTATGGTCTGAAACTTAATAAAAAAAAATTTAATGAGCGCGTTTTGCTAACCCCAGAAGGTGCTGCTGGTGAGAAAAAAAAATAGCCTGTAGCTGGCAAAAACTTTTGTTTTAAACAAAATATTTATTTTAACAGTTAAAGGTCTTTTTTGTTATATTTATTTTATTGCTATAAGTATATATGACCAGATTGAAAAAATTGTATATGTATTGTGTTAAGAGGCGGATTTTAACCTCCTAGCAAAACAACTTCGGAGATGCATTAAGAGTACATTAAACCACAGATCTACCGAATTTATGCATGTAATTGAAAAACAAACCATTTTATAAATCCCTTGTAAGGTCTACGTATGCGGAAAAGGTGGATATGTTCATTTTTTGTTGTTGTTGTTGCTTTTAAAGCTATTTTTTTAATAAAATGTTTTTCTACCGTTAACTAAGAATTATTGAAGTAAATAAGGAATAAGTATAGAAATAATCGATGTGGAATAATATAATAATATAATATAATAGTGCTGTACACTTAAAGAGTGATGAGTCCAAACTACGTAGAGTTTGTAACTTTAACAGCTGTAACACACCAACATACAAACATAAAAAAAGTTAGTATTTAAATATAATAGATAAGTATAGAAATGGTTGGTTTAGTAAAGACCCGTACTTTAAGGGCCCGGGCAACTAGTTATTATTATTATTACTAAATGGACTTAAGTTCATTTAGCAATAATAATATTAGTAAACTTTTACGTCACACTTAACACTTTACTTATTAAAAAAATAAAAAAAATTACTTAAAATTTTAAATCATTTTTTTTTTATGATTTATTTTTTTATCTGTGTTTATACTTATGTCCAATACGAGTTTTTTTTTCAAAAATTGCTGTGGTTGAAATCTAGGAATTGCTCATTAAGTTTTTATTACTGGGATGTCTTATTAGAGTTTCTATTTTATTTAAAATGAAAAGATTAATTTATAGATTCTATAATCTTTACTACATAATTAACATGATTGACATAATTAACATAATTGACTGACTGAACAACATCATTAAAAGATAAGAATAAAAAATAATTCAACTTCTCTTTATAAGTGTTTTAATATATTCTTCAAATATGCAACTTTTGTGACATAATGATGTACACGGCTCGGTTCATTTTTAAAAAGATGTATTTTAAATTTAGAGTGTTTTAATTCACCTAAAGTGCAATCTCTTAAATTATTGATTCAAGTTTACAATCCAATTTTTTTGTTTTTTTATACGTTGGCGCCAAATTTCAAATTTATCATAAAATTTAAGTATATTATTTTTTGCTAATAAAACGTTTATTGTAATCTCGGAAGATTTGTGTTGTAAATGGGGCAGGATAATTTTATTCTTAACAGGGGCGTGAAAATTTTGAACTTTGCTGAATTTATTATAATAAGTGGGCAAAATATTACAATAACAAACTATTTCATTTGAAGCTTCACATTAATACAGTTTCGGCAACTGCTTTTTGCTTAAAAACATTTGCATTTATGTATGTTTGCATTAATGTAAATTTTAGTTATGTTTTAGCAACTACTTTGCACCTAAATTTGGGTCTAATCAACCCCCTATCTATCAGTGAACTTTTGCATACAAATAAACTGACAAAATTAATGAATTATAATATAATATAATTTATATTATTACAAGAAATGTTGACAAATTGATAAAAAGTTAATGTTTGTTTGATGCCAACCAAGTGGGTATCGGACGTCCTAAGACATCCGACGGACATCGAATGGACGTCTGTTAGACGTCTTAGGTCGTCCGATGCACACTGGGAAGTTTTAATTCCAAAAAAAAAACGCCAATTAGTAACAGGATTGATTAAAAGCATGTTCAGAACAGTCAATATATCTTTATCTTAACTGTCCATTTCTTTACAAGTATTTTTTTTAAAAGCATAATAGATATTTTCAGCACGACGTTTGTGTTTTCAGCACGACGTGTTGTGTTTTTATATTTATGTCTTTTATAGTAAATCAACTTAACAGTTTTGCACTATTAAGTTGTTTTATTTTTTCAACAAACTAAAAAACTTAGTTGTCAAAAGAGTGGATAGGTTAATGCCCCAAAGCCTCGATTTTGATTAGGAGGTTTGTCTATAAAAAACCATTTATATATTTTTAGTTTAATTTCAAAAATAATCGTGAAAAATGAAATATCACTAGATATAATACGGATATAATAATCTAATATAATATTCATTAGTATTGATAAATGATAAGCTGATATTATTGGCATAGTCTTGATTTCTCGTAATCAGATAAGAAACTAATATGATGGAAACAGAAGCGATTCTTTCTATCTTTTTTTTTTATATATATATATTTGCCGTTAGTTAAAATAACAAAAAGAAATTAAAATTAAATAAAAAACGTAGCAGGAGCAAGAAGAAGACAAATTGTCTTATCGTCAAGCCCCCGTTACACTGGTGTTTTGTAAACGTTTTAAATATTTACAAGCGAAATAAATAATCAATACAATAGTATATACACAAAAAAACTTTCACAAAAAAAAACTTTCAAAATGAAAAATAGAAATTTTTAACTAAAATATTTCAATGGAATAATTGAAGTAATAAAATGAAACAAAAGATAGATAACCAAGAAGTTATCAATCCACAAAAATGGCGTTGTGTTTTATTATAAATAATTAAATATAACTAAATATTTATTACTAATTATTTAAAATCAACAAAAGCACAACAAAAATACAATAAAAACAAACAAAGTTAAAAAATTAAAGAAATGGTTCCGCAAAAAAAAAGATCCTCAAAACTAAAATTCACCTGACTGAATTGTGTCAAATACCTGACTACCCGACAATATTCGTCAAAAAACCTACTATAACTTGATCACCTTCTTGGGGAGAGGAGAGGGGAACACCATTAAAAGGAAATTAAATTGAAATTTCTACACACCCCTAAAATTGCCTTTGGATCGAAACAAGGTTTTTTGAATTTTTTTCTCAACAGGTCTAGACAAATCATGTATGTATGTATGTATGTATGTATGTATGTATGTATGTATGTATGTATGTATGTATGTATGTATGTATGTATGTATGTATGTATGTATGTATGTATGTATGTATGTATGTAACAAAGTCACGGGGTGACTTTGTTAGGATTTTGAGCATTTTTGCAAAATAAATCTGGTTCATTACAATTTTTTCTGATTTTTTTTTTTCCCGTTATAACATTATACCTTTCCTTTATATAATTCCATTAAATATTTTTAATTTTTTTCTGTCTTAATATATATATTTTTAATCCAAAATGTTATCAATCTCACCCCGTCGTTTGGGGTGACTTTGATAGTCTATTATTTCTTAATGGCTTATTGATTTAACCCTCTTTACAGTGTCGCTAATACTTTCTTTTTGACTTTTACTAAATTAGAACACAACATATTAATAAACTTATAAGATTTACTGGTAAAATTATAAATTTAGACAACAAGTTTGGTTATCGAATATATCTACAGAATGGACAAAGAAAAAACAAAAATAAATTTGATGTTAATATGCTAAACACAGAAAAATAATATATCAATAACATTGTTATAGTAATTAGCAGTTATAAAATAACACTAACAAAAAAATAATACTAATTGCATATAAATATTAAGTACTGATTTACCCTGATTTACACTGATTTTTCTGCAAATGTGATTGAGAGTAACCAAAAACGAGTGGTATATTCCAGTGGTATTATAGCTGGAAAATACCATTTGAACATCTAAGTATAGATTTTTAGAAAAAAAAAATTTCAAAAAAATTAAAATCACAAGATTTTTTGGCATTTTTTGGTACGTGTAAAAATCGTTATTTTTTTGTTATAGTCATGTTATTCCTAACACATTTGCACAATTTAGAATCACTTCACAATCATTAAAATTTCAAAAATATTAGCAGAATATAATTATGTACAAGAATAAAAAAAAAATAGTCTCTAATTGTGCAATTTCACATTCAAATCATTATTTTTGTAACTAACAGACGAAATTATCAAAGTCACCCCGCGTATCAAAGTCACCCCGTTCTACGGTATTTCTTTGTTTTTTTTTTATCAATTTTTATCTATGCATTTTGAATTTAACCAATTTTTATCAACGCACTGTAATGCATAAAAGCCACTGTAAACAGAGCCGTCCCAAACGGGGGTGTAGGGGATGTCCCACCATTTTTTTATTATTATTTTTAGGTCTCTAGTTGGCAAAAATACATAGACACCAAATGAGAGACCTCTTTGGGATGGCCCTGACTGTGAAGCATTCAAAAATTGATAACAAAAGGAAAAAAGCCAATAAAAAACTTTTTAAAACATGAATATATATATATATATATATATATATATATATATATATATATATATATATATATATACATATATATAGTTTTTATTTTATAATATATTAAATAGCTAATTTTAGCTATAATCTTTTTGCACAGCTATGTGTAAATAAAAATATGCTGATAAAGAATAATTAAAAGCTCAAAAGTTTTGTTATTGCCATGATCTCTTTCATTTCACATTTAAACTCATCAAGAAATTTATGTATTGCATTAGTACAGATGCACGGACTTTAGTACGAAAGTCCGTGCGCATCTCTATTTCAGTTGTTGCAAAATATTTATTCGTCAAATCGTCAACAAAATATGCACTCATTTTTAATAGTGTGACTAACTTACTCCTCATTATCATTATTAATATAAAGGGTAAGTTAGAGATTTTAGTTTGTTTGTTTATATAAGCAACTAATTCTATTAAACAAAGCGTCAGTTTACAATTAGCGTGATCTTTTTTATCCTCAATTATATCCTCAATTAAGTTTTAGAGATTTTGTTTTGCATATAGAAACGCTTTGTTTTGTTTGAAAACAAGTTATATCATTTGCTGTTTTGTAAGTGATTACGCAATAAAACCTAAAAAACAAACAAAAAAAAAATGTTCAAATTTGTTAAAATGTCAATGTTTATATAAGATATGTTTGGTGATGCATTGTATTAAAAATTATGATTTATGGCAATGCATTTTTTTTGCATATGAGAGAGCAAAAAGGACATATGTCGTGATTACTTTGCATATGAGAGAGCAAAAATATATCGTGATTACTTTTAAGTCAAATTGTATTGCTATCAATCCAAGTTTTGTTAAAAAACGACGCGAAGTTATTTAACTATTTGATTTAATGTTAACAAAATTGCTCGGGTAAATAATAAAATAAGAAGGTAGAAAGCAATAGAATAAACTTAATGTAAACAATATTTTTATATATTCAATATTATCAAATAAAAAAAACTTGGCTTCGGTTTCAACACCGAGAATGGCAAAACCTGATATTTGATTTATATCGCAGCTTAATTTTAATTTACATATAAAAAAACCTACGCAGTTATCCGTCATGATCTCTTCTGGCCTTCTATTGAGAAATCTTTAAGCATTAATGAAATTTTTTTTTACATAAACCAGTAATTTTTTTATTGTTATCAATTGCTTTCAGAATTTTTTTAATATTTTTTTTTCGTAATTTTTTTAATAAACATTAAATAAGAGTTAAATAAATTCAAAAAGTTAGATTTAAAGTTGCGTGTGATTGTGCGTGTGTACGTGCGTGTATACTTGTGTGTGTATATTCTGTGTTGGTTTAGAAAGGTCTTTAGGGGTTGAAATTATTATTATTTTTGTTTATAAAATCATTTTTAAATAACTTTTGAAAAAGTAGTCGATTATATTCTATATTTGTTTATATAGTTATATTTTATAATATTTATTTTCTATATTTTATAGAAATTTTTGTTTATAGATTAATTTAATTTTTAAAGAAAAAAACTTGTTATATTGCAAATTATCATTTTCAGCCAGATGGTTACAATGCACTCGGGTTTAAAATGATTGGTTGCGATATTTGAACATGTTTTTATTGAAAGTTTTTGAAAGGTTTCACTTGGTTTACTTAAATTAAAAAAGTTTAAAAGCAATAGCAATGAATTTTGATTTTAGAGACGTTCCATTCAAGAAGTTTTTTTTAATAATTCATGAGTTGATATGTAAGATGGTTTTGTAAACATTATTCTTCGATTTTCTATTGGCATAAAATTCATCCAGTTAAAACTTTAACAAATATTTCATGCAAACTATTTTCGGTGTTTTAAAATTAAGCTCATATAATCACAATGCACTTGAGAATTTAAACTCAATAAAGAACTTAAACTAAATTCGAAAGCTATTCATAAACTTTTTCAATTTTATCTGATTTGCGAAATTTCAGTTTATTCAACTGTTAATCTTCTGGTAATTATCTGTAATAAATGCTTTATTGAATGTCATTATTGTTATTATGTCTATATATATATATATATATATATATATATATATATATATATATATATATATATATATATATATATATATATATATATATATATATATATATATATATATATATATATATATATATATATATATATATATGCCCTTCAAACCCAAGTGTGCAAATAAATAACTGAATTTTATATTTTTTACTATTCTGAACTAAACTAAAACATTGAAATAGTTAAATTGTATCTAACTGATTTCAATAATATTTTTATGTTCAAAAGTTATGACCATGTAAAGTTTCCACTCTACCCAAAATGAGTTGGGGAGTATAAACTCTGCATGGTCATAACTTTCGCTAAAAATATAATTAAAATCTGTTAATGTATGTAAAATAACTTTAGAAAAATAATATTATAAAACTCTGCTAGTTATTTACCTCAAATATGGGGTTAAAGGAGGGGAACTGACATTTGTTTGTTTATTGTTTAAAGTTGTTTTTTTTTTTTCCAGCCTTCAATCACTGTAATTTTTTGGAACTCGTTCTTATTAGATATAAGTTAATCGTTCTTATTAGATAAAAACTCAACTTTTAATGATTCATAAGTTTGAAATTGGCAGCAAGTCTAAAAATTACTTCAAGCACCAAAGAAGCAACACTCTTACAGACATATATATTCATATATATATATATATATATATATATATATATATATATATATATATATATATATATATATATATATATATATATATATATATATATATATATATATATATATATATATATATATATATATATATATATATATATATATATATATATATATATATATATATATATATATATATATATATATATCACACAGGGTTTATTATTTCTATATTTTAGTTTATTGAGTATATGTATTTTTAATATATTTCATCTCATACAGTATTTTATCGTGTATATTCCGTTTATATTTCAAGTATATATCATTATCCAAATGAAACAAACAAAAACAGAAAAAGTTATAAATATTAAATTAAATATTATAATACTTTTAGCATATTTTTAAATAATTTTAATTTTGTCGTATGCGTGTGTGAATGTTATTAATCGTAGTGAATATTGTTGTTGTTTTTACTCAAAAAATATAAAAGATAAATATTGCTTTTAAAGGTATTACGAAGAGTTCTCACAGCGCCAAGAAATGAGTGAGTGTTTTTGAGCATAAAACACCAGCCGTGCGCAAAAGAAGACTAGATTTGAAAACAAATTTATATTTCGACCTGAAGTTATGTTAGGATTCATTTTAACTGAACTGAAGAATACTCTACAATTAAATTTATTATCATTATTTTTACACATAATTTTTAACAATGGTTGTTCATAAATAAAGACGACTTTATTTTTTCTATAAATTGCTTATCAGATTTGAAGTCAACGAAAAGAAAATTTAAATTTTATATCGGCAACCGCAGGTAAAACTGTTTCAATTGAGACAGCTTTTGATCATTAAATTATGCAGTATTATTGTTGCGTGATAATATATGATAAGTGTTATAAAATAAAAGGAACTTGTGCGAACCAATGAATACGTTACTATAAATCACGCGGAAATCCAACTATTCAATAAATTTTTTCTTTAATAAAATATGGTACGTCATTTTTGATTTAGTAAACGAAAACTCACCTGTCCAGGAAGTTTTGTTGTAGATTTTTTTCTCGCGTAAAAGTGTTTCCAAAGTTTTTAGTTTTTAGGAAGTTAAGTTAGCTTCAAGTAAGTTTTAAAATATTAAATATGTTATATTTATTAACACTATTCTTTAAATAATTTTTTTAGATAATTTTTTTTTTATTATTAAATATTATGTTTTGATACGTCATTCTACGTCATTACTTATATATATATATTTTTTTATATTTTCAGATTTTATCGTACTTTAATTTTGCAGAATGATGATGTAGCGGAAGTACCGATTTTATAACAAAAGCATTTATCTAAAATTACAGTAAAATTCACTTCTTTTTTTTTTGTTATTTTTAATTACAGTTTTTAGACATTCAAAAAAATTTTTTTTATAAATGCATCTTAACTTAAAAAAAAAATCTTTCATAATTAATTCGACTCGACACCGTAAAGTAATACTTACAAGTATATAGATATTGTAAGGTTAAGATTTCATTATATAATTTTAAATGAATTTAACTCTGCTAGAGTAATAAGATATTTTTGTAGATATTTTTTTAAATAAAAAAAAATATAAATATATAGATAATATAGATAAAAAAAACTTTTTTGACTAGACAAGTAAGTATTTATAAATAGCGCAAAGAATAGGGTTCTTCTTCGGAGAGACTTTTAAAGTTAATGAATTTACTTCCATGGTTAATTTGCATTATTTGTGGAGAGTGAAAGCCGCTAACGTTTAAAAGTTCTTTGAATGAATGGTTTTTGCAAACTTGAAGAAATTAGCCTGATAACAATCGAGCAAGTTCTTGTAGAAGAAAAACAAAATTTCTTTTTTTTATTTTACATCTATTTTTATTTTTAATAATAAAAATTTGTTGTTGTTGTCGATGATACTTTATAATGACGTTAATAAATATATATTCAAAGATAAATATATATATATATATATATATATATATATATATATATATATATATATATATATATATATATATATACGTATGTATATTTATTTGTGGAGGGGAGGGTTATGTGTCTGTATGTATATATATATATATATATATATATATATATATATATATATATATATATATATATATATATATTATATATATATATATATATATATATACGTATGTATATATATTTGTGTGGGGGGGGGGGGGTTATGTGTCTGTATGTATATATATATATATATATATATATATATATATATATATATATATATATATATATATATATATATATATATATATATATATATATATATACACTGTGTGTTATATTTGAGCAGTTTATTTACAGTGATATATATTTAAAAACAAAAAAAAATTATTGTGGTATTTGGATGAGAAGAAAGTGAAAAGAGAAAAGTAAAGAAAAAGCGTTAGAGCTTATGGTGGTAACACATAAATAATGACGCCGAACATTCAAACTACGCGAAAAGCTATTGTTATTACACCGCCGTTGAAGACTAAAAAAAGATCGAACTATAAATTTAGTTCTGTCGACAAAGAAAATGTAGATAAAATCTATGAACCAATGGAACAAGAAATTGAGGCGGGAGTTAACATAATAACAAGGTTTATTCAAAAATCACTAATACCAAATAAGCAGAGTTTAGAGGACTTTCAAGCCAACCTATTAGAATGTTTGCGAACAGAATACACAGGACATTGGTACCCTGAAACACCGGATAAGGGAAGTGCTTTTCGTTGTTTAAGAGTTAACCAAAAAGGAGGGGAGTCTTTAATTGAAAAGACTGCTAAATCTTCAGGATTAACGTGGGTGTTAGATTGTTTACCAAAAGAATTTACCATATGGATTGATCCAGGTGAAGTTTCTTATAGAATTGGCGAGGAAGGATCTATATGCGTTCATTTTAGTACTATTCAACATTTAAGAAGAACTGTCGCAATCAATTAGCTGCTTTAATATATACAAATGAAATTTTCCTAAAGCTGTAAACATTGGCTAAATAGGTATTTAGGGAAGGAGTGGCGGAGGTGTAGACGTTTTTTTGGGCGCGCAATGGTTACTTCAATCACACTTTTTATTTATATTTTGCATTAAAAAAAATCGAAATTTTTGCCGTGAATTTTATGAAGCGTCTTCGCCTGTGCTGGAGAGGCAGGGTGGTTTCACAAATATCCTTAAAAGAAATGTTATTTACTTGATGACTAAAACATAGAATTGCTTCTATTTTAAAATACCTTTAAATCTTTTCAGTTCTTAGAAAAGTGAATGCGATGGCACGGTGTTTATAGCTTTAGGAAAAGTTTCTATTTTTCTTGCTTTTTTAAAATAATATTTTAAACAAAAAAACCAAAACTTTGAAATTATAAAGCCAACATGAAAAATAAATTTTTTATTTTTCTTGAAGGTTCCATGGTTGTCTTGATGTTTTATTTTTTGTGTGTATTTTTTATTGTGTCAACTCTTAATTGGAGCACTATTGTTTGAATTTTATTTTATTTTTATAGGAATTTTAGGAGTATCCGCCTGTAAATATTATTAAATCTTTTTCACTGCTTTGTAAATATGGATGAAAAATGTATACTAGCGTATAAATATATTTGTACATATATACAATTAATGCGGGCAGAGCAATAGAGTTTTGCAAATTTAAATAATTTAACATAAAATATTATTTTGTTTTTTATTTATTAGTGAAAATATAAACATGGGAAGTTTTTTGTTTCCTTATTCAAAACAGTTTTGCGGTATATCGCGAGTTAACGACTGTTACATTTAAAAAGTATTTATAATTTTATTCACCACCGGAATGTTCATCCTTCAAAAGTAATAAACAAACAAAAAAATCACAAAAAAAGCAGAACAAAACGATAAAATAGGAAACCCAGCAAATTTACAGAAAAATTTTTTTTTTTTCTTTTAAATTTTTTTTTAACGTATTTTCTAAAGATCTGCAGTTTGTAACCAAAAGTATTATTTACTTTAAGCTAGACAAGACTAATTGGTCTTGTCTTCAAATGTGAAAGAATCATAAGTGAAATTTTATACAAACTTTCTAATAAAAAAATCTTTTCGTCCAAATGTTTTTAATGTTCTACTTTAAAAAAGCAGAGCATTAAAAACATTTGGGCGAAATAAAAATTGTCAACCTGAGAATGTCAACAATGTCAATTGTCAACATAAGACTAACATAATATGTTAGTTTAAATGTTATATTTAGACATATTTGCTATATTATAACATTTACAGGTAAATTATATATGTAGTAGACAAAAATAAATTTTTAATTTTTTAGTTTGTTCAAAAAAAGGAATCAAAGTTAGATTAAAAAAGAAATTAATGTATTATTTCTGTAATATTTGAGTAATTTACACAAGTTGTAATTTTCCGAATAATTTTGTAATCAATGTTTTGTAACAATAAAATTAAAAAAAAATAATTAACGCTTGCCTTTCACGACAATGTGTGAATTCAAATGTGAAATGTTTACAAATCATTTAATAACTTTCGGTAATATTTATTTTTTAAGCTTTTAAAAAACCTTTTTAGATATGTTTTTGAAGTACTTTTAAATGTTTTTTTTTTTTAAATTTGCGTATAACCTTGGTTTAACTTTAGATTAACCTCTGTTTAACTTTAGATGATTTTCTGAAATACTTAATAGTTCAACAAGAATTTAAGTTTTTACTATTTAACGATTAGAATATTAGCAAAGATGCTCGGACGAGCATTTCAACCATGAAATTGAAAATTCAACCTTCAGAAAAACATTTTCAACAATCAACCTTTGAAATTTCCTAATCGTTGAAAATAAAAACTTTTGAGTACTATTTTAATAAATGTTTACGTAACAAAAAAAAAATATTTTGAATTCTTCTATGTCTGGCTTAAAAAAATGTTTTTACTCAGTGGCGTACCTACGGGGAGGCGGGGGGCGGGGGCTCACCGCCCCGGGTGTCATCCACTTTTGGGTGACAGCCAATTTATTAATATCTTATATTTTATTTTGGTTTATAATTAAACAGTCTTACATAAAAAAAATAAGTGGGTATTTATTTACACGACCTACGAAATGCTGAATGCTGAAAGATATAGTTATCATTATTTAGAAAATATAATCGCTTAGCTTTCTTCTTACAATATAAACAAATGAAATAAAGACTTAATGTGGTCTAAAAAAGTTCTTCATAATTAAAACATACTTAAATTTTGTTTGGGTTTGGATAACTTTGTGTGGGTGCGATTTTAACCGTTTTTCACTTTATCAGCTTTCTTAGTCTTATTCGTATATTTTTTCAATGTTAGTACTGCATCTCATTGCAGAATATCAAAACCATCTAATTCGAACTAAAACATTCGAAAACATATTCTTAATTATTTATAGAGAGTTATAGACATTAAATTATTATTGTCGAAAACAAGGTTTAAAATTACATGTGTCAACGTTTCTAAATACTGCTTTAATAATTTCGTATATAAAAATAATTACATATAATATATGGGTGACACCCTATTTGCCGCCCCGGGTGACACCATAACTAGGAACGCCACTGTTTTTACTTTATTGTTTTAGATTTTATCATTGAATTAGTGTTAAGCGTTGAAAATATCGGGAAAAAATCTGACATAATTGTTTTTAGGATGGCATTTTGCATATTTTTGTTGAAGGTACTATTTATAAGAATGTTCTTAATAAGAGTCAATTGATTTATTAAGAATACTCTTTTAAATAATACCTTCAATAAATATATGGAAAATGTTTTGAAAATACAAAAAAATTACAACATAAGATCTTTAGGATTGCTTTAAAAATATATCCTTTAAAGTTTTATCAACTGATCGAGTCCTTAGTTTTGATATACTAGCAAATCCTTACAGAATTGGTATTTGATAATAAACACCAAGTTGTAAACTCAAAGAAAGCCCTAGGCTTCTCAAATGAAAAAGTTGGTGAATCTTAGTGTCATATACTACTTTGTAATTTAAATTAATCCTTGGGATCTTTTTAAGTGCTAAAAACGTAAAAATACAATTTATCTAAATAATTGCAAACATAAAAACATTTTGTGCAAATAATTGTTTTTATGTTTCTTTTTGTTTATTTATTATTTTTTTCTTTTCAGTATTTTTTAAAAAATTTTAAAAAGTTTAAAATTATTGACAGCAAAAAACTGAGATGAGACCTAGAAATTATGAAATTCTTTGCCTAAAATAATTTTTTAATCTGGAAACCTTGAAAACTGCTTTTTAATCTTGGAAACATATTTAGCATCAAGGATCTTTTTAATTATGCAAACTCAAAACTCATGGTTGAGACAACTGGTACATTCAGCACATTCAAGCTGGCTTTGTTGTGTAATCATATAAAGCTGATAGTTGACTAAGCTCTGATGGAAAAGTTACATCTTTGCAATACCATTTTAATGTCAACAAATATGTGAACATCAATAGCAAATAGTCTATATCAATCCCAAACACTTCATTATAATAAGTAGCAGAGCCTTCAAATATTTGTGCTTAATGCAGCATACTTTAATGATTTATATTTGTAATATAAAAGACTTTTATCTTAAAAAATTTGATTTAAAAAAATTGGTTTAAAAATTGAGCTCAATACTAAATGAAATTGTTCAAACTGGCAGACTGATTCATTTCAAAATGTCCTCTATTCTTTTATTTTGGTATTGATATGTGATATCTTAAAACTTTTGCATCAGTAAACATTTTCAAGAGCTGTGGTTATAATAAAAATAAATAGGAACCTTTAGTAACATTGATCTTTAGACCTTTGTGAAACTCAGTCAAGATGAGTACAATTATAATCTAAGACGAATAAAAAACAATACTAAACAATCAATAGCAACGTTCTAAAATGATGAAAGCATAATGAAATAAAGCTTTTATATCTGGCTGATGTTGATTCTCACTGACTGGATTCAAACATCATCCGGTTTACTAAGTAAATTTTTAATATCTCAATTCTTCTTATTTTTTTTTAGCTTCTTGAAAGAATAATAATTTACGACAAACTGTATTTAACAGGTCATGAATTTGATTAAAAATTAGCCCGGCTTTAAAACGCAATCTTCAATAGAGCATGACATCTTGACCTTGTTAATAACATTATCACATCTTTTGAATCTATGAAAAGTTTTTATAATAGTCTGACAAAGGTGTTTATCAATGTACCATACAAAACTTCTTTTAAAAATGGAAGAGTATACAATGAAAAATTTAAAATGGCTGACAAACTATTTAGAAAACAATGTGTCATTATAATAGATCAAAATAATACATCCGAATTTCAGATCAAAACAACCAAAAAAAAATTTGATTATAATCTGGCTAACAAAGGTATTTAATAATGTACCATAAAATACTACTTTTAATAATCGAAGAAAGACATTTAAAACATATTTTCTATTTTCAAAGGTTGCGATCATGTTGTTAACGCAGATTTTTCCAAACACAAATCTGTTTAATTCTTTGGTTTCTATTAACAACCACTTTATAAGTTTAAATTTAGAACTTCAAAACAAAGCACATGGTTCAGAGCTTATAAATTGTCATTAAACTTAAATAAAACTAAAAGCGTTTTATTTCACTTGAAAAAAAGGAAACACTATTGATTGTACTTATTCTTAATACAGACAACAGAACCATTGAATAAATTCAATCTTCTATTATTATTAAACGAATCCAATCATCTACGATTATTGGAAGAATCTAGTTTTCTAAATATCGATGGTTTTAGATATTTTCAATCATACAAAAATTTAAAAATTCTTCTTTTTCATTTATGCATTGCTATCCAACATACGCAAATGTAGCATTGGTAATAACCTGTTTCTCAAATTAAGTTTCAGCTTAATACTATGGGGCAGAAGTTATATAAATACTGAAACGTTTTTTTTTTAGGAATTTATTCAAACAACTATAAAGAGATTATTGTAGTAAATTGCTATGAGTAAAAAATAATGTGAAAACTTCGATTTTAACGTTTTTTACTGTTTATGAAAAGATAAATTAAGAGGTTTTTAGTCATTTATTGAATGTTTTAATGCTTTAAACAAGAAGTCATTTTATTTTCGAATAAAATGGACATTTTCGGAATGTAAATACTTAACACATTTGTTTAAGCAGTTTTTATGACGCTGCCCGTCGCGTTTTATGTATTTTAGTGGTAGTTTTGTTTTGCTTGATGTTTTGGGTAAAAAAGATTTATAAAAAAAAATAATAAATTATATAAGAAAAGCTTAAATTCTATTTTTTAAGAATATATAACAGTCGAAAATATGCATTAAACACAAAAAAATAAAGTTTAAAAATGTAAATTTTTGTTTTTATGAAATAAAATGTAAATCGTTTGGATTTCTGCTTAACTATTCTGAGTAGATAATATTTCGTCTTTTTTATTGATCAGGTTTGTGATTTTTTTAAATTTTTTTTTGTTAATTATTTTTAGGTGTACCAAGAAAACCTAACGATCTTGTCACAGAGCATCGAGGAAGTGCATTTAATCAGGAAGTTCACGCCTCCTTCCTTACCGTGACGCGAAAATATGTCCAGAGCTCGTTTTGAACCTGGATCTCCTGCTTATAAAGCAAGCGCTCTAACTACTGCGCCACGGCCGCGCTATAATAAAATTATAAATTTCTTTATGATATAAAATTATAAATTTCTCATGAAAGCAAAGATTACAAGTTTTATATGT